CCTTCCACAGGACTGTCTCCTCAGCTTCTGGAGTAGCCAGGAAGAAAACCAAGCCCACTGTTTACTTTCTAAATGCCAGGCTTGTTTCCCTTAAGAAAACTTCCTAGAACAATTTGTCCTACAAAGTAAGCACTCAAATGACCGAGGCCTGGGTACCTGGGCTGGCCTCAGCACCCGGCATCAGCTCTGTGTCTCCTGCTGCACCTCCACCTGGTCCATTTAATAATTGGTATGTAGTCTCTGAAAATTCATGAGAAATCTTATTTGAAGACGGCAGTAATTAACCTAATTGCAAATGTAGAAAATGAAAATATTTCCTACGAAATGCCCAGGAGTTGTCAGATATTTTTATAGAATCCAAGAAATAGGATCAGGGAAGGAAGGTAAGTAAGAAATAGCAGGCCTTTCTTATATTGGTATTAAGCAGTATGCTGTGCATGTGGTTAAATAAAGACGTGGCCGTTGTCTTCAATGGAAAGGAAGAAATGTGCGAAGCAGAAAAATTAGATAAGGAAGCATGGAAAAGCAGCCACCCCATCCCTCCCCTGCTCCCCGTGCCGCCTCCTTCGGGCCTCTTCCTGGCTTCTGCTCTTGGTGAGAGGAGCAGACTCTGAGGGCTGAGAGACGGATACTGCGTTAAAATATGGCTTCTCATCTCCCTGCCTTATTCCTCCGTCATGGAACCCTACTTGTCCATCTAACTGAGCATCTAATTCTGTAGTTGAAGAAACAGGGCCCAGAGAGAGAGAGGTGATTTGCTTCTTGTCCAGCAGTTCATTAGAGGCCCAACTGCCTCATCTCTGGACGCCCGAGCCAGGGCTCTTTCCCTTGGCTGCTTCTGTTCCTGAGCTGCGATGAGATGGAGATGACCAGCACTCCCTTCTCCCAGTGTCCCCACACCCGGTCAATATATGCCTGTGGACCTGGCAAAACTGTCACATCCAGGATTGAGGAAGTATTGCTTTTGTTTCTGCACTTTGAAAAGAAACGAAGATGGGAACATCTTATTGGGCTGGAAATGCACTTTAACGTCCTTGAGTGAAAAGATGTGTGAAATGTTACAAAGCCACAGGCGTCCCTGGGCTCGACATGCCTAAAAGCTAGTGTTAGGAAAGGAGGACTTTGTTCTCAGTGTCTCCATTCTCTTTCCTCCCTCCTGTGTTGTCCCTGCAGGCCGCCAGCTCACTGGAGCCGAGAGGGCCTCCACAGCCACTGCAGAGGAGACTGACATTGACGCGGTGGAGGTCCCACTCCCAGGGAATGACGTCCTGGAATTCAGCCGAGGTGTGACTGATCTAGATGCCGTAGGGAAAGAAGAAGGCTCCCACACAGGCTCCAAGGTAGGCAAGAGATTGCCCATCTGTGTGATCCGCACACATGTCCTCAGGTTGTCAGTCACTTCCTAGCCCCTGCCAGCTCAGCTTCCAAGTGAGGCATTTCACAGCACAGTGGCAGTGCCAGAGCATGCTTCACTGCTTTTCAGAGGGCTGACTTCCAGAGGGTCTGGACACTAGGCACTGCTACAGGCCACGATGCCATGGAGCTGATTCCTGACACACATCGCCCTCCCAGAATCCCACCGGTATTTGATCTCATACTCCCTGGCACCCTCTTCCCTTAACAGCATCTCATCTTTGCACAGATTTTGCAAGACTCACTCTGCCATACACACACACAGACTCCCCTGTGGCTTAAAGCTAATAGAGCAAAGTCCGTTTGGCCCCCCTCTGCCTGCAGTAGCAGTGGTGTACCTTTGGTAATTCCTGTAGATAGCACCACGGAGTCTGGAAATTGGCCCACTAGATGTTAGAAACCGAGAGAACACCTTAGTCATCATCAGCTCCAGCCCAACATCGTATAGGTGAGATGACTGTGGTCTATGGGGTTTCCTAATGTGATCCAATTAAGAAACTAAGAACTTGAGGCCAAATTCCAACCTGGAGCCAAACCTAATTAAAAATGTTTTAAACCCAGAAGCAAAATTACTGACCAGTAGCTCTACCCTTAGATTCCCTGGCAGTTCACTATATCACATCACCTCCCTTTCTTCACCATTCATATCTTATCTCACATGGAGGTTTGGAGGGCAGTTCAGTTCTACACTGTCTGCCTGATGTTTCCTTTGGACCCAGTGTGTCCTCTACAGGTGGAAATAGCCCTGTGTCCCTGGGGACCTTCCTTTTGTATGTCTGAAGAAGGCCCCACAGCAGAACTGACAGAAATAAAATGTCTCTCCCTGTCATTGAATTCTATGAACTGTAGAAGCCATCTTGGTAAAAATGGCCACAGGAGAGGGAGACAGAAGGAGGGAAGGACATAGGAACGGCTTTCATCTAACAGGATGTCTCCAGATCATTATTTATTTTAGTATCCCATCTTCTTTGCTGATGGTTCTCACCAGAGGCAGTGGAGGACAGGAAGTAGCTCCTTCACATGGCCCCTTCCTCCAGGACCCAACTCCAAAATTCTCCCAACGAGGGAGTTGTCGTGCTAAGATGGATGGAAGCTATGTTTGACAAAAATAGGTTCTTGTAAGTCTAGAACCTCAAGGAACTCAATGGCAGGGCATCACTGGAAGTGGTGGGCATAGAGCAGTATCAGCCATCAGTCTCCCATCATGCAGGGTCAGTTACCAAGGTGTCCCCATATGATTTTCTGACTGTGTGGTATCAGCCCAGGCAGCTACACCATTTCCTTCCTGGACCCTTACTCCCATTTCCATTGAAGATGCAGCACTGTCAGCTTATGGGTTGTAAGTGCATCAATTTGCTCCTCGCGAGTGCATGCCAAAGAGAGGGAGGGCCCTCAAGATGGCTCCTGCCACGTGTCATGTCCTGTCTTCTCCCTCCCCTGCAGGCTTCGCACCCCCAGGAGCCCATGCTGACAGCCTCACCCAGGATGCTGCTCCCCTCTTCTTCCTCGAAGCCTCCAGGCCTGGGCACAGGGACACCACTGTCCACTCACCACCAGATGCAGCTCCTCCAGCAGCTCCTCCAGCAGCAGCAGCAGCAGACGCAAGTGGCTGTGGCCCAGGTTCTCCTCAGCCTCCTCCCTACTTCGCAGGCTCCACTCTCATGGGCTTGATGCACCTTCCCTAGCGAGGGGCTCAGGGCAGGTTTAAAATCTAGGGAGTCATAAGGAATTGCTCATGCTATTGGATCATTGCTTGTTGGGGAGTGGGGGCAGCGGGAGGGGGAAAGATGGGGGATGCAGTTCAAATGGAGAGGCACATTTTGGTTTCCCATGTATCCCCTGCTCTGAGCTGGGCTTGGCTGGCTTGGCTGAACATTGTTGTTTAATGACTTGAACTGACCAAGGGGAAAGATGCGCACAATTCCACCCTTCCTTTCCTGCCCGATTTTCCTGACGTTTGGGATGGGAAGGGATGCCTTCAGAGTCAGGACAGTTGTGGGTTTATGAGACCACTCTTAAAACAGCTTAAAGTATGAATTTGTGCCAAACACCATTGTAAAAAGATGACTACCCTGGCATCCCAGTCTCCTTGTCTATAATGTGTTTCCCAGCCTCCATTCTGATCTACTTATTCCAAATAGTATTTGGTTGGAATTCGTTATCATGGGATTTAACTTACAGGAATTTAGGTATATTATTTGAGCCATAAGGAAAATACTTGACTTAGATCTCAGAATCAAGGTGGTGTTTGTACCCCAAAAAACTTGTTGGGCTGCTGCTACATTGTAGAGGAGGGTGAGCTGACTTCCCTTGCTGCCTTCAGCAGGGATTCCTCCTGTTTGCTTTCTGTAGAGGGTTCTGTAGTCCACATCTTTCTTGGCACTCATGAGTCTGAGCTTCCTTTCTGCCATGGGCAGTCAGGGAAGGTGAAAACATTCATTTATACCAAAGGCTGAATTCTGAGGCAAGAGACAGGGTCAGGGCCTAATAAGTACATGAAGATCTTAGGAGAGGGGGCAGTTGGGGCTTGGAGAATTGGGAAAGGATCTGGAAAGGCAGCTCTGCATCTGTATTCCAAATTTGCTTGATCAGACCATTGACCACTTAGGTTTTCTGCATTCTAGAATGGCGGGGAGCAGACTTCTCCAGGGAGCACTTATTGTTCTCTGTTCTATCTTCTGCTTACTCTTCTCCTGGCTCTTGAGTGGAGGGAATAATCTAAACAGAGCTGTCCTTTCCACCTTTTCACTTTGAGGAGGCATCCGCCAGCCTGACCATAACAGGATCTGCTACAACTCAGGGTTTGGAAAAGACCTTCTAGTAACATGGTCTCCATTGACCTGGGCCTGAGACGCAAGCCTCATGGATGACTTCTGAAGCCAGATTTCAGGAGAGTAGAATCCATGGACACAGCTCTCAAGTTATTGGAATCTTTTTAAAAAGTCTTACCATGAAGAAAAGGATGTCTTGTGATGCTAGAAATATTTGCAGGTGTTCCTAAAACAGCAACAGAGAGGAGGGAATGTCATTAATGACTTCTCATATTTGGAGGAAAAAAATGATTTCTCTTTGTCAAATAAAAGAATCCATCTCCTATAGTTAATAATGGCATTGTCGTCTGAGAATCCCCTCCCTAGTGGGATGGCTGACAGGAGCACAAAGACGAAGCACTCCAGCACGGGTCCATTCCCAGACTCATTTCATTTCCACAAGTTTCCCATTGAATACAGATCATAATACTTTTTATCTTGCAGCGTATCAATTGGCAAATTATTATTATTTATCAAAGAATGGGCTTGGTCCATATTCATGATATGATTTTATCAGGGAGGCATTTGAATTTGAAGTCACGGCTAAGTACTAGAGAGAAGCTGTTTGCAAATGTGTAATCCACACAACAAGAGTATCGTGGCAGTGGAAGGAAGCATTCAATCTGCAAAGCAACAAGGCATATAACTTATCACAGGTCTAGCACAGTCAGGATGAAACCTAAGAGTGGTTTTCTGGTATAGAATCAAGTGTTAGTCTCCATGGGACATCCTTCCCTGACCTGTTTTAATTGTGTCTCTCTTAGAAGACAGTGAATCTTGGGGAAGAAAAGAGTGTGGTATTCGGGATTTGCTTCATGAGCCTCTCTCAGTTCTAGACATGTCCACAGGCTGGGCACCTTTAGCCTGTCACTCACTTGGAATTTGTTGAATATAGTTGCCCTGCTTAACTCTCAATACAAGCAGTGTGGTGATCAAAAAGCCACCATGGTGCATCTGTGTCCCACATTGGTGAGATGACTTTAGGGAGAGTCATAGACTTCCAAAATCGCCAGATAGGACAGGACCTTGAGGCCATCTGATAGGTTCTTGAACATACTTCTGTACCTCTGTCTGCCATCCCCATCCGTCTCTGACCACCTTCTTTCTGTTCGCATCTTGCTTTTGCTGTCCAGGAGCACATCAGGGATATTGTACCTCTCAGCTGGCTTTCAGCTCCCCTGTTCTGTGGATGGATTCAGTCCTAAACTGACCTTCAGTTAGAGGCTTCTCTGCACACTGCTCTTTCTTCCACTTTCTTTGTAGTGCTTAATCCAAGGGCTTTTTATTTGTGTCTATATCCTTAAGTAAAAGCAATTATGTAAGATGTAGCTGGATTGATAGGTGGGTCTCCTTGGCATCTTTCACACATTTGAAATAGACCAAATATAGCAAGCTTGGTTTCTCTGCATGGATGGGGCTGATTTCAGTTTCCAGCATGAGGTTAGCTCTTACTTGTTCTGTCAGACTCTATTGCCATCAAACTGCAAAGCTTCTGTCTTTATTAAACTACCAGCAGTCCCCAGAATTCTAATGAGTAAAACTGACCTCAGCCTTTCAGGTGGGAATAGTTTCCTTTTCTCAGAGAGCATCCAAATCCTCCTGTGTTGTTCCTGGATAAAAATCAAAGGATAAAGACAGTTTCTTGCAGACAAGTGTGCCCTTGAGGTCACTTGTTGCACTATTTATGTCTCCCCCCTCCCCAGTTTCTTCCCACAGGCCAGTCTAGTTATGCTGTTGCCGTGGGGACCAGGCTTAGGTCACCTTCACAATGTCTTGATTTGGTCTAAGACCTCAAGACCTCTCCCAGCCTCACCCTAAATTGGTTCTGAGCTGGTCTTGAAGGGGCTTGCCCTGTATATGGTATATGGGCAAAGGTGGTATTCAACCAACTCTTAAGTATTTCCAGGTTAGACCTCAGTGTGTAAATAGTGAATACCCAAGTCCCTCTGACCACTCTCCTGACCCAGCATGAGTCTTGCCTGGCTGCACTAGCTTTCTGCTTTTAGGTGGACCAGAAGGTCAAGAGTGTGAAAGAGTATAGCTAAGCCTTGAATCGAAGCTGGGATGTAGCTGGCACCTGCATGGTCGTGGGCTGGGCTGACATAGTCTCAGAACTGATCTGGGTGCTGTGGCTGATTGGCAAGAGTTATGTAGGCTAGGTCTGTTCACAGTTTGCCAATGCCTGGCCTTGCTCATGAGGAAAGTGTTAGTACAGTTCAGTATTGCTATTTAAAGATTTCTCCTCTACCTGCTGCCACTTCCGCTTGTTCAGGAACAAGGAATTGGCTATTTATGCTTCGCAGTCATGTATGCTGTAGTTAGAGGAACAGCGCTAACAAAACTCCGCATCCCCACCCCAGGCCCTCTATTTAGCATCTATCCTTGTGGCTTTTCCCAGTCCCCAGCACCCTTGCGTGCACTGCCCAAGTCCCTGCCGTGTGCATGTGAGACAGCGGTGCCTGCCTCTGCTTCTGTGTCCAGTGTGTGGGGGGGCAAATTGCTCTGGTTCTCTCCACTGCCATTTCCATGTGCCTGCTACACCCTAACTTCAGCCTGGCCCTGCCCTCACTTCTGATGGAGGAGCTGGAGTCCAGGCAAGTAAGCTGGAGAGTGAGGGGGCCAATGATCTTGCGTGGCTGGGTGGGTTGAGGGTGGGTTTCAGAGTTTGGGGAAGCAGTGCAGAGCTGGAGGGTGCAGGGCTGAACGTATGTGTCATGCTGAGGCCATAGTGCAGGCCATTCATTGCCAAAGACAACACAGTTCTGGAAAGGGGGTGATGATTTGTATCTTTCCAGAAAAAAATATGGCCTACTTTTATGAAAGGGGTTTCATTCTTTTAAAGAAAAGCGTGCTAAATACAAATAAATATCCCATCTGGTGGGGAGGAGGTGGTGCTTTCTGCTCCTGTTGTTTGAATGGGGAAACAAAGCACAGAGGGCTTAGCAGACTGCCCAAACCAAGGCTGCAAATAACGCTGCCTCATCTCAGGGCTTCAAGTTTGAGCCCACATAGTTATAAAATGCTGCACCTCAAAGTTAAAAGAAATCCAGGCCGTTTTGTCTCAGTGTGGCCTGGTTTGGGCTGTCCTGCAGCACAGCCTGCCACAGCATGAAGTTTGAGCGTTATGTCCAATACCACTTTTGACAGCTGCAGAAGCAGAGGGCTCATTAGTGCTGGCTCAGGCAGTGGCAGCAGCGAGTGCTCACACATTCACAGGGCTTGAAAATAAATACCTGAAGTGGTATAACTGGGTTTACAGAGGTAAAACTCTTCTTTAATCTGGTACAAGCAGCGTTTTCTCATGGCACTTAGTGCCCGTGGATTTGCGACGGGAGGCGTTTGATTCAAGGGTCTTCTTTTAGGTATTGTTGGTTCTCCACCACTGGAACTTGGGTACCTACAAAACAAGCTTTCAACTTTGTTTTTTCCTTGCTTCCGTAAGAGGGAACTCTTCCTTTACCCTCAATCCTAATTCTTTGACTTCACAGTGGGGAACTGAGGATTTTTTTCAATGAGCCATTAACAAGTTGCCTCTAGTACTAGTCATGATGTCAACCTGGATGTGTAATTATCAAACTATCTGAGCCTCAAGCCAGTTCTCTCAGTTGACAGATGGAGAAACTCAGGTCCAGAGAGAAGTGAGTTGTCTACAATTGCTAGGGAGTAGCCAATAGACAAGCACTCCAGCTCCTTGTGTGGTGCATTCAAATGGCCTGTCCTGCTGGGATGTTCAGAGTGGGTTGCAGGGAACTGACTCGGCTGGGCACGGTGGCTCATGCCTGTAATCCTAGCACCTTGGGAGGCCAAGGCAGTGGATCACTTGAGGTCAGGAGTTTGAGACCAGCCTGGCCAACATGGGGAAATCCTGTCTCTACTAAAAATACAAGGGTGCCCATAATTCCAGCTATTTGGGAGGATGAGGCAGGCGAATTGCTTGAATCCAGGAGACTGAGGTTGCAGTGAGCCAAGATCACGCCACTGCACGCCAGCCTGGGTGACAGAGTGAGTCCCAAAAAAAAAAAAAAAAAAAAAAAAAACAACTGACTCTGCAGCATATGTGCAGGGAGCCCTCTATAAGTGCCAGTTAGCAGTATGCAGGATTCTCTGCGTTCTTTGTTTATATCCACTGAAAGACTTTGTTCTACATTTCTCTCTGGTTGGTTTGGTTCTAAAAAAAAATGGAAGATGAATAATTTAGCAATTTTATTTGCTCAGTAGGTTCCTCTCAGCGACACTCTTTGTTGGGATAAGTAACGGCTGGGATCGTGCAAGATTAACCCTTCTCTGAGGCTTATCTGTGGGCGTCCCACAGCAGCTGTCCTGTTCCTCAGAACCAAATAGATTTGGGGGAGCCCCAGGTGAAATTTCTCCATGCCCCTGTTTCCAAGGAGGAGAAAACCTTAATAGCCACCCACCATCTGTCATCCAAATTAAAATATTATCGACATTTCTTTCCTTGTTGAGTGGGTATAGGAAGAAACAAACGCAGCTTCTTCCCACTATACTGTCACAGCATACTTCTATGACCCAAATGTATGGGGCTTTTTCCCACACACCAAACAAGCAAGCAAGCAGTTCTGCAGATGACACCCAGTGTCCTCTAACTTAGTTTGATTCTGATACTATCTACCTGGAGACAGCATCAGATCCCACAGTTTGAGGGCTCAGTCCCACAGCCTTTCCTCCACTTCAGACACCAATCACAAGTCATAGTTTGTCACCTACACCTCTGACCAATTGGCTATAAATTGGTATTCCTACTACCCTCTCCTTGGATTCAGCCAATTTGCTAGAGCAACTCATAGAACTCAGGGAAACACCTGCATTTACTGGTTTATTTTAAAGGGTATTATAAGGGATACCAGTGAACACCAGATGGAAGAGATGCCTAGGGCAGGGTATGTGGAAAGGGACACAGAGCTTCCATGCCCTCCCCAGGTGCCCCACCCTCCAGGAACCTCCAAATGTTCAGCTGCCTGGCAGCTCCCCAAACTCAGTCCTTCTGAGTTTTTAATGGAAGCTTTATTATGTAGGCATGATTGGTTGCATCATTGGCTACTGGTGATCAGTTTAACTTTTAGCCCCTCTTCCCTCCTGGAGGTTGGGACCTGGGACTGAAAACTCCCAACCCTCTAATCATACCTTGGTCTTTCCTGTGATCACCCCCCCAAATCCTGAGGCTTCCAGGGGTTCCCCAGCCACTAATCATCTAATAAGCATACAAAAGAACACTCCTACAACTGGAGATCTCAAGGGTTTGGGGAGCTGTATGTCAGGAAATGGGGTTGAGGACCAAACACGTTATTTCCCTGGATCACACCTGTTCTGACCCCTCTCCAGATTTTTTCTCAGTTAATATGAGACAAAAAATGAGGTCGACTGCTTTACCAAAATATCAGTTCTGTCCTTAGCAGCTTTATGGAGGACAGATTTACTTTAAATTCCTTAGGCATTATCCCCCTGTGGTTCTATTCAATTAGAAACAGGGTCAACAGCAAGGTCAGGACCTCTGATCTAGGCAAAAATGAGGCAGCCACTGTACCCACAAGTGTAATTCTCTGAGTGCTGGTTGCTGGGGTGTGGGGGATGGGGGCACACCCTGGGCCAGCAGGTTATTTGGCCAAGGGTGGCTAGAATTGTCCTTTACTCCCTAAAAAAATGTGAATCTCTTCTGAGCAAACTCTTCTTCAGAAATTTGAGCATTTGTTTTCTGAGCAAGAGAATCAGCTAATGCTTCCGACTCACCATCCATCTTCCTGCAACCTCATCCCACCTCTTCTGCCCCTAGTCACCTGGCTGTGTCTTTACCCACACTATGGTTTTGGTACAAGAACACCCTTTTCCCCATAAGCTACATTGGTCCAGGCCATCAAATTCATTAGTTCCCTTTCTTCAGGGCCCTTTGAAACCCTCCCTGGAGAACCCTTTATTCATCACATATGTGTGAACACTGGTATTGGCCTTCTAAATCAGTTTCTTACAAACAGGTCCTGCTCTGGTTCCCCCCCCCCCTCCTCCCACTGAGTTTTATCTCCACATAAGGATTGCTCACCAAGAACAGAGCAGTTGACACCACTGGGCCTCACGCAGGCTGAGTGCACCGCTGCCAGCTGCTCTGCCATGATGAGGTTGGAAATTGATGAGGGTGCCACAGACTGTTCACCTCAGCCCTTCTGGGCTGGTTGGAGGAGCCCTCTAATGAGTCAGTCAGCAAATGTTTGACCCCTACCAGCTGGTCCTAGTAGTACATGGTATGAATCATAGTCCTAGGTGTCTGCCGTGGCAAATAAAAAGGGAAGGCAGGGAAAGAAGCTGCTGCCTACAGAGTGGCTTGATGACAGCCACCTCGCTAATTTAAAAAGCCATGTGTAGTGCTTCCTGTTTCTCACTATGTTTGGGCGAGTGGGGGAGGAAGACAGATTATATGGGCTTCGCTGTGACACTGTTCTTAGCCAGTGGGTCAATATATCAGTTTCAGTTTTGTTTTTTAAAAGACAGGATGAGAAAAGAGTGCCCCATTCCACCTCCAACATGGCATGCCATGCTTGGTGCTGAAGGAGTTCTCTAAGCAAGGATGAAGCACCATGCGTATGTGTGTGTACTTGCGCACGTGTGTGTGTGCCTGCGCACGTGTGTGTGTGGGGGCGGATAGCGGGTCAATGGCTCTTTCCTGCCTCTTGCCCTTGGTGTGGGACCCAGAGTGGTACCTTAGTGATGTATCATGGCAGTCCCTTGGGACACACAGCTTCACAGGGCCAGTGAACCCACTCCTTTCAGCTCCTCCTCCTCTGGAATGATGAGCCCAGATGCCCATTCTGCCTATGAAGGGCTGCTTCTTGAACTGGATGTGGAGGGCATCTCTGGTCCTGGCCGTCTGCCAGCGACTCTCATGTGCATTCATGTCCCTCTCTTCTCTCTGTCCTGTCTTCTCTGCTGCTGCCTCTTCTCTGCAGGTACACTTGCTGAAGGACCAGTTGGCTGCTGAGGCTGCTGCACGGCTGGAGGCCCAGGCTCGCGTGCACCAGCTCCTGCTGCAGAACAAGGACATGCTCCAGCACATCTCCCTGCTGGTCAAGCAGGTGCAGGAGCTAGAGCTGAAGCTGTCAGGACAGAACGCCAGTAAGCCAGCACCCTGCCCAGACTCACTTCCTCTGTGAAGGCTCTGGAAAGAGTGTTACTTTCCTCAAGTTTTTGGTGGTACTTTCTTGGACCCCTGACCTGCCCCTATATTCCAGCAGAAAACATAGACAGCTTTGTTTCCCTGTTAGTACACTTAATGAATTATAGAATCGCATGCCCAAAGGAGATCTTGGGTGTCTTCTAATCCAGGCCCAGGGCTTGACTTTGAATGTACCCGGAGTCATTGCTATGTGCTCGTCCAGTCTCTACTTGATAGGGGCTCCGGTACTCTTTGTTCTAGGGCAGCCCATTTCTTTCTCAGAGAGCTTTTGCAAAATACAGTATACTCTGCACCTATCAGGTATCATGTTCTCTGTGAGCTCTGTGGGAGTCAACAAATTGTTTATTAGTTTACTACTCTGCACTATGTATTTTTAGACTCACACAGAAAAAGCTGGGAGCAGTTTATCTGTTCAGTGGATAAGGCAGTGGAGTCACTGGCTGCACAGCTCTGCCTGGCCCCTGCTGGAGAGGCTGTCTGTATCCTCAGCACCTCCCGGCTGGACCAGACAGCTGTAGATCGCAACACGTTTTCACACCTTCCTCTTGAGTTTATCCATGGGTTGTATGCATGCTCACAGTGTGTGTGGGCTGTGGACCAGCAAATACCCATTGATCACCTGTTGTGCCAGAAACTGTGATAAAATTTTTTGCGTGTGAGCTCATTTAACCCCTGTAGTTCTGCTGCAGAAAAATGATATGCCATTTTACGGAGAAGGTAACAGACTCAGGGAGGTTAAGTAACTAGCTTAAGGTTACAGGAGCAAGGTCAAGGAGCAGAGCCAAGATTCAAACCTAGATCAGACTGCAAAACTGTGTTCCAACTATACCAGTGGTTCCCCCCAAACTATCCCATGAGCTTTTTAAAAAATGTGTATTACTGGGTCCAATCTACAGAAATTCTGCATCGTTGGGCCTGGGGCTGGTCTGGGAGTCTGTATTTTTAAAGTAGCCCAAAAGTATGGATTGGAAACCAGTGCCCTTCACCACGCTGGAAGCCTCTCAGGATTTTCCAGGTTGTTCATTGAGACTCTGCTCTATCCTAATTAATGTTTTTTTTTTTTTTTTACATGATTGTGTTAAAGGTTACCATAGGCTTCTAACATGGTTCTCTCAGTTGGCACCTTTTTCCTACCACAAACCCTATTCAGACCCTTCAGTGGTTCCCAGAACCATCAAGTGGTTCTCATGTCCCCGCCTTTACCACGTCCCAAAGTTCCTCCCCTCCAGCAAGGTGTGTCTGGAGCCACGTGGGGGCGGGAGGAAGGGGTGAAGTGTTGAGAGATGCAACCCCCCTTCCCCGTCCTCGTCCTCGGGAGGGTGCTGCTAAGCTGGTCTGGGAAGGGCTTTTGCCGAGGCACGGGCTGTCAGAAGGCAGGCATCCCAAATCAACAACCTTGTCTAACGTGGCCCCTCTTCTGTCTCTTCTCTCCCGTGCAGTGGGCTCCCAGGACAGCTTGCTGGAGATCACCTTCCGCTCCGGAGCCCTGCCTGTGCTTTGTGACCCCACAACCCCTAAGCCGGAGGACCTGCACTCGCCGCCGCTGGGCGCGGGCTTGGCTGACTTTGCCCACCCTGCGGGCAGCCCCTTAGGTAGGCGCGACTGCTTGGTTAAGCTGGAGTGCTTTCGCTTTCTCCCGCCCGAGGACACCCCGCCCCCGGCGCAGGGCGAGGCGCTCCTGGGCGGGCTGGAGCTCATCAAGTTCCGAGAGTCAGGCATCGCCTCGGAGTACGAGTCCAACACGGACGAGAGCGAGGAGCGCGACTCGTGGTCCCAGGAAGAGCTGCCGCGCCTGCTGAATGTCCTGCAGAGGCAGGAGCTGGGCGACGGCCTGGACGATGAGATCGCCGTGTAGGTGCCAGGGGCCAGGAGATGGAGGCGGAGGCGTGGCTGGAGGGGCCGTGTCTGGCTGCTGCCCTGGTAGGGGATGCCCAGCGAATGTGCGCTGCCGAGGAGAATGCCAGCCAGGGCCCGAGAGAGTGTCAGGTTTCAGGAAAGGATTTGCGATTCTGCTTTGGAGGATAAAGTGGGGGGAAAATCGGATTCCCAGAGGTGAATCAGGTCCTCTTCTACTTGTGACTAGAGGGTGGTGGGGGCAGGGACTTCCAGAGCGCATGGCTTCCGGAGAGGTTCTCTCTCCAGGACCGCCAGGCTGCTGGAGGACCTGCCCCTCCCTGCTATATCCTCAGGCTCCCCCGCTTTGTCTGTGATGTCCCCGTACCCCATCACTCTCCCCGTCTCCATGGTCCCAACCATGAAGGGAAGCCATGCGTACCTTCTCAGGTACTTTGTTTCTGGATATCAGGATGCTGTGAGTTGCCTAACTCTTCCCCGACCTTTATAAGAGGAGTTCCTTCTCCAGGCCCTTGCTGAGGTTGTAGAGATTGAGTGCTCTGGGCTGCAAAAGCCAGGCTAGTCCTTGTAGTGTGAGCATGGATTTGGAATGTGTCACAGTGGATAAGCTTTTAGAGGAACTGAATCCAAACATTTTCTCCAGCAGGACAATGAATGTTGCTTCAAAGGGAGCCTTGAAGCTTTAAGATGGTTCAGGCCCTTGGGGTGAGAGCCCAGAGGGAGGACAGCTTGTTTGCTGCTCCCAGTCAGTTAGATCTGATTCTTGTTTCAAAAACGCTGCCCTGCCCACCTCCTGCCTGTAGCCCAGCCCATCTAAATGGAGGCTGGGAAGTGCCCCTCACCTCCCCTGTGTCCTGTCCAGCGGACGCTTTTGCAGCACTTTACCTCTCTGAAAGCCCCAGAGGACCAGAGCCCCCAGCCTTACCTCTCAACCTGTCCCCTCCACTAGGCAGTGGTGGTTAGTTTTTTACTGAAAAAAAAAAAAAAAAAAAAGAAAGAAAGAAAAAAAAGGGAAAAAAAAAGTGAATGCAGGCTGTTAGCTGAGACTGTGAGACTGTGTTTGTCTGCTCTTCAGAATCACTGCCACTTGGGTCAGGGATCACAGCCATGTCACCCTTGGCCCATCTCTCTGGGTGCGTGCCTTGAGCACACCTGTCAAAAGTGCCATGTGCAATTGTCTTGTCTTTTACGATCTAGGCGTTGCCTAGGGATCACCACTCCTTAACAGGCTGACTGGGGCAATGAGGAAAAGCTCCTTTGCTCCTATAAGGCCAGAAGTGGCTGTTAAGATTTCAAATGCCTGAAGAGATTGCTGAGACCTTCTAGAGTCATATGTTCAGGGAATTAAGTCTTTATCCTAGACAACAAGCTACAGATGCAAACTGCAGTATTATTGGAGGGTCAGTCAGTAAGGATATGATTGCCCCAAAATGGAGTTCATCGACCCTAGCTTTGCTCTAGAATTTATATACTGTAAATAAAAGTGCAGCCCTTTTCTAATGGCCACAGTTGGATTTCTTGTAGCCCAGAAAGTCCAAATTAAAGGAAATAAATGCAGTTTTATGTTAGCCCTCCTTGGTGCATCAGGGTGTCAGCAGATATAGGATAGGGTGGTGTGTGTGTGTGTGTGTGTGTGTGTGTGTGTGTGTGTACACACTTGTGTTTATATACCCATGTGTGAGGAAAGGCGTATACATATATGTAGGATTGTGACCAGACAGAAAAGAGGGGGGATCTCCAGGGTATTTGAATCAACAACAGATTTGTGTTTTCTAATGTGCATTTAGTTGGGGAGGCATGGTTCTGTTTGCGTTGTTTTGATCTAATTTGCCATTGGAAATAGGTACAGGTACATGGAGAAGGAAGAACCAGGAAAGTGAGATCCACGAAACTAAATGAGCAGCTGTCAGGAATCCAGTGTGGCTGAGCCTACCTAGCTTATGAAATCTAACCCAGGGTTCCTTGGGTCTGAGACCGTTTAGGTTATTAAAATTTTGAACATCCAGAGGAGTGAAAAGTCTGTTTTCTGGACGCAAGCAGGAGCTGAGGATAAAGCCAGAGGCCAGTGGATTAGGTGTGTGGAATGTGGATGGAGAAGGCTTGCGTGGGCTGTGGCCAGGGAATGGGTGAGGAAGGTAGTTTCTAAATGGCCTATAAAAGCTTGAGATGCGATAGAAGAAAGGAAATGAGGAGATTAAAGAATTGGAGAAACTAGTTATCTGTGTTGCTGACTTTGGGACCCATTCAAGACCCTTGCCCTTGGGGTGTTCCATGGTGGTTTCTTCCTGCCTGGGCCCCATCCTTTCCCCAGTTCAGGCCCCCCCTGGAGGACTAGTTTGTGTATTGGCATCCTCCCTAGTGTGACCTAAATCAGTGCACTCTTAGTGTGTGGAGATGCGAGACAAAAGACAGAACTAGGAGCCTTGAAGGATCACCAGCCACCGACCCTCCATCAGAGCCGACTGGGCAGGAAAGGGAACATGACAGACCTGATTTCCCAATGATGTCACCCCGTCCTCCTCCCTCCTTGCTGCTTGCTCTGCTAACTCGACTCTGCCTTCCTCTTTTTCATTCTTCTACTCTGCCCTATATGGAGGACAAATGGACACCAGGGGTGCTGACCTTATTGGTGCCTGTCCCAGCCTGCCCCAGGTGCCATCAGACTCGTGCACAGGAGGCTCCCACAGTTATGGAGCCAGGAAAGAATTTCTCCGCACTGGATGGACTGTTTATTGGGATTAAAAATTATATTCCTTATATTCCTGCTTATATCAATGCTCTCTCTGTAAAACCTCTTCCTAGCCTCGTTTCTCTCAACTGATCTTGTTTGGGAATTGTATTCCTTTTATTTACTCTTTGCTTGACTGCTTCCTCCTAACACTCTACCTGCTAGCCCTCTACTCCCTAAAACTGTTGTGTCATTAACTCTGTTGGATCAACTCTCTGGGAAAAGATTCTGTTAATGTAAGTGCACTTACTCCCTGGATGTTGTCACTAGTCTAGTGGCTTTTGCTAAATAAACCTTTCTTATTTCTAAAAGCTTTTCCATTGTCTTTTCTTGCTGCTTCTGTTCCACCTGCTCCTTTTCTCCCCCTCACTTCTACCCCACTTCCCAAGCCAAGTGGCATCAGCTCTGTGACATGGTTCCCAAGGGTGTGGGATTGAGGAAGGATTCACAGGTTCCCTGAAGGAGGAAAGGAAGATGGTGGCTTCATTTACACTTTCTATAAATGAGACCTGCAGGATCAGATGTCATCAGTGGTTCTTAACTAGGGATGATTTTGCCTCACCAGGGGACATCTGACAATGTCTAGCAATGGTTTTGGTTGTCACAAAGCTACTGGCATGTAGTGAGTGAAGCCAGGGATGCTGATCAATATCCTACAATGCACAGGACCACAACAAAGAATCATCCAGCCCCAAATGAGGTTGGGAAACTCTTGTCTACACCCGTTTTTGCTGACTCTGCCGATCCCAGTTTTTTTCAGACTCCAAATGCTAGAATACGCAGCGAGTAGCAACCAGTTTGTTTTTTGGTTCTGGGTTTTTTAAGGTAGGGTCTCACTCTGTCCCCCAGCCTGCAGTGCATGATCATGGCTCACTGCAGCCTTGACCTCCCTGGGCTCCGTGATTCTCCCACCTCAGCCTCCCAAGTAGCTCAGACTATAGTGTGTGCCACCACACCCAGCTAAGTTTTGTATTTTTTGTAGAGACAGGTTTCACCATGTTGGCCAGGCTCTTGAGTTCAAGTGATTTTCCCACCTTGGCCTCCCAAAGTACTGGGATTACAGGCGTGAGCCACCACTCCTGGCCAGCATCAAGTTTTGAGTGATTGAAAAATTACTACATCATAGATATTTGCCAATATCACTGTATAATTGTATAATCAAGATTATACAGCGCAGGCCTGTAATCCCAGCACTTTGGGAGGCCAAGGCAGGTGGATTGCTCGAGCTCAGGAGTTTAAACCAGCCTAGGGAACACGGGGAAACACCATCTACAAAAAAACATGAAAATTAGCCGGGTGTGGTGGTGAGCGGCTGTGGTCCAGGCTACTTGGCAGGCTGAGGTGGGAGGATGGCTTCAGCCTGGGAGGCAGAGGTTGCAGTGAGCAAGGATCACACCACTGCACTCCAACCTGGGCAATAGAGTGAGACCGTGTCTCAAGAGAAGAAGAAAAAAAAAAGATTATACTATTTCATTAACTTCATGACTAAATATCTGAAATATGTAGTTGGTAGAAGTTTGAATAGGTCCGTTCCAGAAATGTTCATACTGGGGACAGAAAAGGCTCCTCCCCATACCTACCTGGGAGGATTATGTATCACTGAGACACAGCTCAGCAGAGAAGTCCTGACTCAAGAGAATGTAGGCTTCTCTGCAAGGAGCAGAAATGAAAGGGTGGAGGAGGCTGGTAAACGAGGGGCTGTTTGAGGAATGAGGAGCTGTGGGATCGCACAGAACAGACTTTACAGAAGCCAGGTCACTTTGGCTGGAACTTTTAGCCATTTTGCAGGCAGAGGCTGTATTAGGCCTGATTCTTTGTCAGGCCCAGGCTAGAGAGAAACTTGGAAAGATTAGATCAGCTGGGTTCACGTGCCCTTTGTTCTTTTCCGCCTGAGTAAACTGAGCTGAGCTTTATACCCCATCTGTAAAATGGGGGTAGTATAAACCACACAAAGCTACCATGGAGAGTAAATGAGATTGCACTTAAAAGGACCCACTGCCAGAGAGTACC